TAACTCACCACCTTTTCTCGGCCTTACTAACATTTCCAATAGGCAGCAAAGCTTCAAGAAGTTTCCTGGTAGGGCTGGTGAAGGTGGCAGTATAGTTATAAGTGAATTTTGGCCAATGAGTGTGTTGGCAAGCTCAATATATGTTTTCCCTATAACATCTCCCCCCCCCCACATATACACAGGAGAAAGAGATAGAGAGAGACAGAGGCAGAGAGAGAGACAAAGAGACAGAGAGAGACATAGAAAGAGACAGGGAGAGAGTCAGTCTATGGCTACAACATCAACTCTCTTATCTCAAATTTATTATTAGTGATGCTCTTTTTGGATTATTATGTTAGGGCCCTGATAACAAATTTTCATGTGCAAATCTGTGTCAAAGGAGGTTTGGTCTCAGTGCGAGTGTTGTCTTAGGTACCAGACTCACTCTTTTTAGATAAAACTACTTATATTAATACCATAGAGTCTCTCGGACATAAAATGAGCAAACACCAGTGTGACAAACACTAAAACTCAAGACCAAACAGTCTAGCACAGGAGATGGCTGATAGGGTGTCTTATTGTTCCCAATCCTATGCCACAGTTTTGATTCAGACACATAATGAGGCACCTTAGCAAAGCATTATGGGAAAATGAGCTCGAGATGGCAGAGGTGACATAACCCATCATGCAGAAGTTCCCTCGGTCATCCTGACACAGCAACATCCTGGTGAGACCTATGGCTATTTATTGACTCATGTGGTCCCACAGTCAGAAGCCTGTTTCTTTGTTCTTGAGAAAAGAAGTGTGATCTTTGAAGGAATTATGGCGGTGGAAAGGAAGAGAAAGACCTAACAATGTCAAGATTTATTTTAAAGAATCTGAATAGAATTAATGAGCAAAGAAATTAGAAAAGTTAATTGTGCATCATAACAACTTGGCTGTTCCCTTTTGTTTCTTTCCTGAGGAGGAAACAGTACAGAGGCTGTGAGCAGTAACTGGCGTGAGCCTGCACAGGTAGCCATTTCTGTGGGCTTAGACCGATTATTCACATTATAGTGGACCCAGCAAGGTGCTCTAACTGGAAAAGCTTCTAAATGTCATTTTCTATGAAGGCAACAGCCAGATTTATTTCCATTATAGTCCCTCTTATTCTCAGATTCCAAAGCAGTACTATTCACTCCTGGGCAACAATAGAACATTGATTTCTCAAGGCTAAGAAATTGATATGAACTCCACATAGAAATATCTGCCCTGCTGATAGGCATCTTATCTGGGAAATTGGAAGTTGAGTGACATGGTATCCATTCCCCTCCACAGAGAGGGACCAGCATAAGAAGCTTGGTAGTCAGATAAGCTTGGGTTCAAATTCCAGCTTCACCATTTATTTGTGGTGACTTTTCAAAGACTTTGAAGGCTAGTATGCATACAGGAACAGCAGTTGGCATATAACAAATACTCAAGAATGTTATGTTGTAAATATTTTTGCCTTGTAAGGTACTCATAATGTTATACAGTAATATCAACAGTGATAATTATTATCATGGATATGAATAATTGTCATGAATATAAAGCACTCATCACATAATTGACACTAAAAACTGTTAGTTTCTGCTTTTCTTCGCAGATTACTTATGCCCATTTATGAATTCTAGTTTTTGTGTATTTATGACAGAAATAGGTCCAATATGACTCAAAGTCCTCTGGCTCCATTATTTTTTGTGGCCAGATTTCCCTTTCTCCTCCAAGACAAGCCATCATCCAGAGGCAAGATAGAAATGAAAAAATAAGGATATGCCAGGTTACACTTGGTTATGGCAAGAATGGGAACAAGTCAGAAGAGACAGATGTGTTTAATGGCCAATGCACTTGTCCAAAGGAATCATTTTCACTGGCCAGGAGCCCAATTAAACCTGTAAAATGGAAATGCAGAAAATCAGATTAACGAGCCAGTCATTAGCGAGGAAAAGACCCAGCTAATTCTGTGTTTAGCATGATGGATGGGCCCAGAGCAAATAATTGGATGACATTCATCAAATGTAAAATAAAAGGTGTCACTGAAAGGGAAAGTGGTAATAATCTCTGGGATTTACAATGCCAGCAAATTTGCTTGTAAGGAAGAGAAAAGTTCATCAAAATAGATTAATAGTCACTAAACTTTATTCCTTCCTTGTGCGGTTGCCAGAGAGCCATGCAAAGAAGAGAGAGAGCAGATGCCTTAGCCTGGTATCAGCCCAACCTTGTGAGGACTCTGCTCCACAGGGCGGGTGCTAGGGCTTCAATCTGGAGATAAGTTCCTGTGACCATCTCGGGACTGGGCAGGAAGGGAGAGGTCTTCTCCCCATCGTGGTTTAGCTACTAAACACTGGAGGAAGTCAAATTCCAAGTCTTCCTAGTCAAGCAGGTTAATCACAATTCATTTTTCATTTAGTCAATAAGTATTGAGCCCTGCCCTGTGCTTGACATTTGGGGGATATACTCATTTACATGTCCAGGTGAGGCTAAGGTCACATACTGGCCATGACAATGAAAGCCTATGTGATGTTGGTCGTTAGTGGACCTCTCTGAGCCTCGGTTTCCTGAGCTGTAAAGTAGAAATACAATCCACACCTATAACTCTATATATCTTAACTCTATCTATAACTCTATATATGTATGTCCATAAGATTTAATACATAACATATGTTTATGAGGTATGGTTTATAAACTGCTTATCATAGCATCATTCAAGTAATACTCTTTTACTGCATGGTAGTTATTATTACTATTACTCTTTTATTACTTAGATTTGGGGTTGGCAGATATATTTCCATGTGTTGGTTTTATAATTTAAAGTAACACCAAATTAAACCACTAATACAGGGGTCCTCAAACTATGGCCTGTGGGCCACATGCAAATACAAATATTGTATTTGTTCCCGTTTTGTTTTTTTACTTCAAAATAAGATATGTGCAGCGTGCATAGGAATTTGTTCATAGTTTTTTTTTAAACTATAGTCCGGCCCTCCAACGGTCTGAGGGACAGTGAACTGGCCCCCTGTTTAAAAAGTTTGAGGACCCCTGCACTAATAACTAAATAATACCATACAAGGACTAATGGTGACTGTTCAGAACCAAGGATTAAATTTTAATCTGTGTCTGTGTAGTTGAGATTTATTTTAAAAAGGAAAAACAAAAAAGACTTCCTAGCAACTCATTGATCTTAATATATCAATACCCCGTCTCTAAGCCAATGAGGAACAATACAGATTCAGAACAGATGTCTTATTAAAAAAAAAAAAGTCCCGAGTACAAGACATAAATGATTCTAATTAGAAAATAGAGATGTAAGGATAGCGGGAACATCAGGGAGAAAACCGGTCTCTGCTCTTGGTTCACAGCCGAGTCTTTGCACCAAGTTTTCACGAGGTTCTGCCTTCACACTGACTCCAACATCTGCTCTACCTGGCAGCGTATGGTACCTGATTTGCGGGTTTCCAATCTGTGCAGAGCCAGGGGGAGCCATGGGAGGTGCCACCTCTCAGAGTGAGAAGCGATGGGTGGATTTCAATAGAGATGTTCGACCCCTCCTGCTCTCGGCAGCTGCCGTGGAAGGGCGCCAGGTTGGGACCAGAGGAGGAGGACTGGCCTGTCTCCAGCAAGTGCTTGGGCCTTAATGAGAGCAGAGCATGTGCCTCCACTAATTACTTCCTCAGCACAGCAGCCTGGTGGCTATTGTCATCCTACTATTTTCTCTGAACAGGCCATGTTATCTTCTCTTGGGAATATTAATTTCCCCTGAGTTAGGGTGACTGGGCCGAGAGCAGCCATCTGCAGAGCTGTGCCATGTTGGCAGGACTTTTAACCAAGCCCAGGCCAGAGGTTCGTTTCTTGGAATGGTTTCCAGGTTCCTCTAAGATTTCATATTTTCCCAAGTGAGGTCATGACCCCCGAACCTGACCCCCCAACCATGACAGCAGAATTGGGACTCAAACCCCAGATTTCTGACTTTTAAATCTAGAGTGTTTTCTCTGACTTTGATGCCTTTAAATAACTTGCTCAAGGAGAGTCCATAAATATCTGCTTAATGCCTTAATTTGTAAATATAAAGGAAAAGCAATGTGCTCAGATCAGAAGTGAAATTAATTTCAAAGTTATAAGCACTTTAAGCAGTATTAATATTCAGGTCAAGAAAAAAAATCCTTTGGCCATCACATCATGGTCACAATGGATTAAACATTGATTTTTTAAAAAAAGAATAAATAAATCATGGGTACAGCTCACATCAATAGCTTCTCTGTTCTCAGCTGAAAACATTTATTAGGTTTGTACATGTGCAGAGCACAGTGACCAAATACACAGACCTTGTTCTCACAGAAAGTGCCATCTACGGGAAAGACTGTTGTCATCACCCACTTATTCTCTAAGGGCCATGACATGGAAGCAGCTCAGGGTGTCGTGGGATTGGAGGTTAAAAACCAGCAAGGGCCCAACCGGCATGACTCAGTGGCTGAGCATCGACCTATGAACCCGGAGGTCATGGTTTGATTCCCAGTCAGGGCACATGCCCGGATTGCAGGCTTCCTCCCCAGTGGCGGGGGGGTGTCATCACCCACTTATTCTCTAAGGGCCATGACATGGAAGCAGCTCAGGGTGTCGTGGGATTGGAGGTTAAAAACCAGCAAGGGCCCAACCGGCATGACTCAGTGGCTGAGCATCGACCTATGAACCGGGAGGTCATGGTTTGATTCCCAGTCAGGGCACATGCCCAGATTGCAGGCTTCCTCCCCAGTGGCAGGGCGGGGGTGGGGGAGGGGGGTGCAGGAGGAAGCCAATCAATGGTTCTCTCTCATCATTGATGTTTCTATCTCTCTCTCCCTCTTCCTTCTTCTCTAAAATCAATAATAATAATAAAAAGAACCAGCAAGATACTCCCTAAAAGGTTGTCACAAACCACTGTAGCTACTGATGGAGAGGCTAATACCTTCCAACTTGTGTCATGATCCATGGCCCCATCTGACCCCTCTGTGTTTCCCTTGACCCAGGTAACAACTGGAGGAAGAGCCAGCTACTACGTGTCCTATCGAAGAGAGGCCTTCGCTCAGATAAAGCTGCCCAAGTACTCGCTGCCGAAGGTACATACCTCCTCATGTCCTGGTCCTGCCAGACAGAGCCGCAGGGAGAGGCTGCCTTGTTGGGCTCTGGGAGGTTAGATCCCTGCGTGGGAACCATCTGTCATTCAGCCTGACTTAGCCCTGTGGGGCTTGGCCTCTGCAGAGGTCATTGAACCTGGGTTCTGCATTCTCCTCTCAACAGGGTACACAGGCAGGAGTTTTGATTTGCTATGACTCAAATATCCCACATAACTGTGGGTCATTCCCCAGGAGGGGTGGTGAAAGGAGCACTAGCTTTGGGATCTCTTCTGAGGAGCCCTTTCTTTTGTACGGGCCTTACTGCCAAATAGAGGGATGGGTTCAGAATGGTCTAGGCAGCAGCACAGATGCTATAAGTGTGAGCGCATAAAGGTGCATAGGTGAGTCTCCTGGTTTTCTTGCTTCTCCTTCCATTTTAATGCTAAATATAAATGCACTGCCTATGATTCCACTCCCTTCTGCCACTATGAGTAATGAGAAAAGAATAGTTTACTATAATTTTAATAACAACCAATGGCATGGCAATTCCTCTGCTGTAAGATTATAAAACTTAACTCCCTGAATTCCATTTCCGGTGAACACTGGCTTTTGGGAGAAGATGGATTTTAGAACCTCAGTGTGAACATGGGCAGAACATAATTGCATCACCTAATGAGGCTGCAAAGAAGCATAATCTCATGTCAAGTATAATGCTACAAAGAACTGGGTTTCTAAGCTGGTGCTAGGAAACATATTATGAGTACAGAGGTAGGAGGGATTATGGAATAAGAAGGTGGGTAATTGTCTACCCTCTTATTGTTTCTATGCACTCATTTATTCATGTATGCATATATCAATCCATGCATCCATTTGTTCCTTCTTTTATTCAGCCATTGAACTATTCTTTCTAACATTTAAGTTTTTCCTCTGTGCCAGGCACTGAGCTAAGGTCTATGACTAGAGTAGTGAATAAGACAAAACAGACCCTGTCTTCATGGAGCTTATATTCTGGTAGAGAAGAGAGATACTGAACAAACAACTGTAGGTGTAGAGGGTGTTATAAGTATAGAAGCTCAAGGGTCATTGTGGCATAAGAGTTGGAGCTAAATAAATATGAGTAATGAGGGCAAGTTTCCTAAAGAAATTGATGTTTAAGCTGATTAAGAAATAAGGAGTTAACTGTGCAAACAAGTGTTGAGGAATATAATAGAAAATACATGCACAGGCCCTATTTTAAGAGAGAGAGGATAGGCCCAGCTGGTGTGCTCAGTGGTTGAGCATCAATTCATGAACCAGGAGGTCACAGTTTGATTCCTGGCCATCAGGGTACATGCCTGGGTTTCAGGCTCGATCACCAGTGGGGGCCATGCGGGAGGCATCTGATTGACGATTCTCTCTCATCATTGATGTTTCTGTATCTCTCTCCCTCTCTTGGAAATCAATAAAAAAATCCTAAAAATAAATAAATAAAATAAGGAGAGAGTATGATTTATTCAACAAACTGAAACCATGTTGAGTGACTGGATTAGAGACTCAGGGGAGAGGCTGATGAGGTAGGCAAGGGCCACATTCAATAGTCTCAGAGACCCTGGGAATCAATTTCTCATTTTCTCTACCCTCTTTGTGATTGGCTTTTATAGGACCGGTATCTAATTTTATGGTTGCATGATGTACCCATCAGATATTCTAAACACAAGCAGGAAAGAGGCGTGCCTGCCTGGAGAATTGAGGACAGGGATGCTCATAATTATGCTCTTTCCAAAGGAGAATGACCCCTTGCAGGAACCGGGTGATTTCCCTGTATGGGCCTAAAAAAGTTTCAGGAACTTTCCAAACCATCCTCCAATGTAGGGCTCATTTTGTCTTTGTATGCTTACCTATTTTATGTATTTTTAACCTTCTCAGGAAAAACAAACAGTTCTCTGCCCTTGGCAGTGTGGTTGTAGGTGGGGACAAATTAACCCTGGAATTGATCACAATCCTAGAACACTCCATTAATGATTAGCAAACACATGGCCATTTATTGTGGTGGAGACCCATCCCTGCGACTCCTTTTGTAGAACTTCATCCAGAACAGCTTCTCATTAATATGAGGGCGGCTGTGAAAATAGCCGGGTGGTTATCGATCCCCTTTATTAGCTGACATTGCCCCAGATTTTTCCTAAGAGGTGAAGACAGAGGGGGTGGAGGGAGATTGGTTCTTCCATTGTTTACAAATGGAAATGGCTTTTAAGCAAGTTGCTGCCTTTCATGGAGTCCTGAGGCTGTGGCTGGGCCTCCTTGAAAACAAGAACAAAGCAGTTCCCTTCACTACTGACCTCACCTCTCCTCCAAGACTGTCTGTTCAGACCTGCTTGCCTGGGGCAGTCCTGGCTTTGGAGTGCTTTGCAGAGAATAACATGAATGCTGTTAATAATAAGCAGCACTCTTAGGAGTAGCAACCACATGCCCAGTCCTCCAAACCCAGTCCCTGGCATCTGATTGGCATCTCAGTCCAATAGACATGAGAAGCACAACAGAAGGTGGGGAAGAAAATGAAGGGGAGTCATAGTGGCTTTGGGAAAATATGACGGCGCTTATGAGCAGAAACCCTGAGCTCTCATTCCAATTCTGTAGTGAACTCATCCACGTGGCTGGGTCTTCTCATCTGTGAAATGGGTATCGTCATACTATCTGAGAAAGTTGTGAGGATTCAACAAATGGCTCATTGTTGGTAAAGTGGAAAGTGCTCGGCGACTCTAAGCAATGATTGTGATCCAAGGGGAAACACAGTAGATGCTCTTGACCTGTGTGGAGATCTGTGTTCCTTGTCAGGTCACGTCTTAGCCTGTCCTTGGATTTAGGGTAGCCTGAGGCCCTCACTTTACCACTCTGACTCTAATACACCCTCTTTTGTCTCTTAGATGCTGGGTTTATTATTAACTTGTTACTCTTATAGTCATTTCTACAAGAGAAAATTTTGATTTTATGTCTGTTTGTATGTGGGACTCAGTTTGTTGTTAGTGACGATGTTGACCTTTACCTGAGTCCTGTGTTTTAGAAAACAGCAATATTTAAGAAAGCCCCCACCCTTTTGTGTTCTTGGACATGACTTACTACAAAGATCTCCCCATCCCTAATGCCTTGATAAGACGCTGGTGTCCCCGAGTTTACTTTTGACCACACCCAATTCCTACTCTTTGTCTCATAAATGATTGTCCCTACCGACCAATCTGTACCAAATGCTTGCTGATTTGACTTTACCAACTTACATTCAGCTTTTCTTCTCTCAAATCCCTAAACTTTGACCCACTCTTGAGCATATGTGAGCACTGGGAGCTTATGCATTGGGACTCAGAACAACCCCTCTTAACAGCCACCCCTGAAAATTACAGATTCTACGGAGAACAACTTCCCTGTCTCACCTCACTCCTCAGACCCCAGTTTTGGTAGCCTTGATGTATCTCTCCTTGTAAAAGCAATTTTTAAAAAAATATATATTTTTATTGATTTCAGGGAGGAAGGAGAGGGAGAGAGAGATAAAAACATCAATGATGAGAGAGAATCATTAATAGGTTGCCTCCTGCATACCCTACACTGGGGATCAAGCCCACAATCCAGCCATGTGCCCTGACCAGGGATTGAACTGTGACCTCCTGGTTCATAGGTCAATGCTCAACCACTGAGCCATGCTGCCTGGACTAAAAGTAATTCATTTCTGCCTTCACTCTGAGATGCTTGCAGATGTTATGGCCATAGTGTTGCAATAGTCTTTTGCAATAAAGTCTCTTTTGACCTTAGTCTGGGTGTGTTTTCATTTGACAATAGAGTACAGTTAATTGTGTATTGAATAATAAGAGAGAAGAGAGGGAAATATGGTTGAGAACATTTATTATAATGATAATGGCAATGATATTAACCTTTCCCTTAATTTCCTCAGGAAAATTTTTCTTAATTTTTACATTTCCTCAAATGCTGCTTTATCCTTCTTTGCCGTGTCACAGCCACACTTCTTAAAGAGTTATCTGTAAGTTCTAACTTCTTTTCTCACTTGCTCTTCACTCTTCAACCCAGGGCTGGTTGCCCTCTGCTCCCCCATATCCATCCCACTATTTCACCAAAAACCTTCTAGCCATTGCTACCAGTGACTGCCTATGGGCTATATGCCTCCACCCCCCAAATGTAGTTCTTTGTCTTTTGATACCTCTCTGTATAATTTGACAATGTTGGGAGGGTGATCCATACTTGATACTCTTCCCTTTGCTCTTATTTACTTCTGATTTTCTTTTCTGGATCCCCTTCCCCTTGCCACCCTTTAAATGCCAATGTTTCTCAATTCTTTTTTTACATTCCGCATGGTTCCCATGTGACCTCATTGCTTTTCTTCTTGTTGGTGACTCCTATGTCCACAGCCTCAGTCCATATCTCTCCACTGATCTCTGGACGGTAACTCCAACTGCCTATTCAGAATACATCCCCTTAAAGGCTTCTTTTAACAACTCCTTAACTGAGCTCAGAGTCTCTACCCTATATCCCTTATATCTCACGCTTCTCCCATGTTTACTTACTCCATTTATTCATTCAGTAGGCTTTTGTTAGATGTCTTCCATGTGCTAGATACTCTGATAAGCACTAGAAATAAAGTGATAAATAAGAGAGGCATAGTTTCTGACCTCTGGGAGTTTATAATCTAACTAGTGGCCCGATGCGTGAAATTCGTGCAAGAGTAGGCCTTCCTTCCCCCAGCTGCTGGCACCAGCTTCTCTCTGGCACCCAGGACCTGGGCTTCCCTTGCAGCCCCAGCTTCATCCGGAAAGTCATCTGAAGGATGGAAGGACGTCTGGTCTAATTAGCATATTACACTTTTATTATTATAGATGAGAGAGACAGATATCAAACAAATAATTACACAAATGATATTTAATTATCATTTAATTATCATTTTAATGACTAAAATTCAGGGGATTTTGTAAGTCAGATATCTGAGATATTAAAGATATGTCCTTCTCCCTTACCTCTTGTAGATTCTACCTCTTTAATATATCACTATCCATTTCTTAGAGTTATAGAAAACCTACCCCTGAGATCAGACCCTTGTGTATTACTACCTAGATTATTGCTATGACATTTTAAGCCTTTCTCCCTACCCCACTTTAATCCACTCTTTAATCCACTAGGTCCTCAATGCATATGATCATGCAATGAAGCTCATCTTCTCCAATTCAGTCTCTGCATTGATCAATTCTAATCTTTTCTTTCTCTTGCAAAAACCTTGTGATAGCTTTGTCTTTTCTTCTGGGTAAACATAGGGGCACTATACAGAACCCCTTATGATATGGCCACTCTACCCTCACTGTCCCCAGAAGAAAACTGCTTTCAAGCAATTCCAAGTTCCACACATTTCCTCGAATGCACCACCCTTCCTCCCACTTGTAGAAGCCTTTCTGCTCCTGTCACCATTTTCAGTACCTTTGTTGAAGCACTTATAAGTTCATGGAAGGCCACAAGAGCATGTGATGTTTCCTCTGGGTGGGCATCTTCCTGAGGTTAGGGTCTATATTTTGTTCCTCTCTGTTTTTATATTATGGTATTTGACATATGGCATATGCTTAATAACACATGTCTTCCTATAATAAAGTTACGTTAGGCCCAGATTATTAAAAAAAAAATCTTTCAGTAACAGGGAAGTATTTTTACTATTTTCTCCTAGGAAGTAACAGATTTTCAAAAAGCAACTCTGATTTTCCCCAATTATTCTTTTTGGAGGGTATAGGGGGACTGTTATTTATAATTGTTTTACTATGAAGGTGATACATACTTCGGAGTTAGATTAGAGTAGCAGAATTCAAGAAATAAACATTATTATTCTTTAAATCCCTATTCGACCAAATTTAACTAACAGGAATTTTCTTTGTTCCTGAAGACTTACTCTCCAGGTTATTATTGGTTAATTCTTATTCAATCATAAGACCTATTAGAAGCTCTATTCAGAGCTTTTCAGAGAGTAGTTCCCCAGATTGTATGTGCCAGAATCATCTGGGGGGCATATTAACACCTTTCGTGCTGCTCAGGAGGTTTCTCGTGTTTCGCACGCCATCTGTTAAGGACCGCTCACGAGTGTTCTCGTTTTTCACGCCCATGGAAAAAGGAGCGAATCTAGATACTTATGTAAATTTTGTTTGGTCCCTCTTCATAGAGGAAAATGTTTTACACAGTACCATACGTTAAAAAAGTACTAGGAACTTTAATTGTTTAATTGATTTTGTAAATAAAAATGTTATAATTATTGAAAAACGACACCGAAAGTGCATTATGATGATTTAAATAACGTGCAGTTTGCCCGAAAATGTGCGGTCCCTGGCGTATGTCTTAGAGATTTCTATGCAGTACGAAAGGTGTTAAATGGCAGAATCTAAGGCTTTTCACCAGACATACTGAATCAGAACCCCAGGCAGGGAAACTCATGAGCCCACCTGCTATTAAGATCTCCAGGTCATGTTGATGCACATTGACGTTATATCCCCACTGATAATGGGTTTAGCTTCTTGATTAGGGTAGTCTCAAGTTTAAATCTTAGTAATGTCATTTAGTAACTAAGTGGCTTTGGCCAATTAAGGATTTCTCAGGCAGGCATCTCAGAATCCTAGATACTAAAAAGCAGTCTTTCACCCGTGAGCCTGCAGTACCTGTGCACCAGGTAACACAGTCCCAACACAGGTCTAAGGTAAGATGCACTCACAGCAAATCTGGCTGCCTCTAATCCTGACCATGCCCCAGTGTTTTGAGTTGTTTTTTTCCCCACTTTTTTATTAGTTTAGTCTAAAATAATTTAGCTCATTCATTTTTATAACCAAAACACCTGGGAAAAGCCAGGAATTTCTATTGCATTTTTAACAGGATAAGTGAATTTAATCTGTATTTCCTGCAGCTGCTGTTTTCCCTCCTACTGGGTTCTTGGTTTTCATTCCACACCAACATGACATGATGTCATCACATGGTTTTTAAGAGTAAGCCTCATTAACATTTCAAGCAGTTCAGCAGGAACCTCTAAGGTGTGTAAGTACAAATGAGCAAGTAAGGTCGTAGGCAAGGTGACCTAGGGCATTCAAGGCCAGAGACCGGGATGTGACAGAGAATCTCCAACGCACAGATGTAGAACTTGCTTATCACTCTCCCTGCCTCCCTCCCACATGTCCAAATCAAATAAGCTTGCTCCTTCTGAAATCATCCAAATCAAATGAGCCTGCTCCTTTTGAAATCATCTCGATGGAGCTCTCCATGGTTCTGACATTCTAGACAGTGCTGCCTCCCTTTATTGTTGAAACCACTTCTGGGAAAGGTTGGCCAAATAAGGTAAGAGGTAGATTCAGCCTGATTATCTACTTCCTGTCAACTGCAATTGCTTGTACCAATGCTTTCCCCCATGGTGACAAGGGCGCCTCTCCTGCTTTCTCGGGATGTTATTACTTGTTACCATATACATCTGTATAGTTATGCATTCTTTAACTGCTCCCAGTTTTCAAATGTTTATCCTTGTCAACATTGCCTCTTGACAGTGTGAGTTCCTTAATTAAGGGCTTGAGTTTATGATACTCTTTGTACAGCGCCTAGACACATATGCAAACTGGCTTTTATAAACTGCTTTGGATTCTGCACTCATCGATTTGATTTTAGAAGTGACCCACTCCAGTAATGCAAACAAAAGTAACTTCAGCGACCAGAAAGTAGCAGATCATAAGAAAAGTTAGATACATGGGACTGAGACTCCTATGACTCCACCTAAAAGACTACATTTTCAAGTATTGCAAATAGACTGTGGTCAAACCAATAGACGAGGGTCAAACCCTCGTGATTTATAGTTACTGTATGGATCCTTGGTTTGCAACTTCTAATCTAGAGGCTATATATCCAAATGGTCAGAAGCTAACAATTAGCTTAGAGTCATACCACTGAGATTCAAAACATGGTTCTGTCACTTACTAGCTATTCAATATGAAGTACATTTGCAAACCTCTATTTCCTTAGTTTAGTCCTCAATAAGATGGGAATAATTACACTACATCCATTATAGACTTATTTGGATTTGTAACTGAAATAATACATTAAGTTAACTTAGAACACTGCCAATTGTTAGCTCTTTTTATTGGTAGCCCAGCCTCTTCACTTTTTGGTAAGAAAATTGAAGCTCTTGGAGACTGACATATTCATCAGTTCTGTAGCAGAGCTTATATTATGACTGAGAACACTAAATTTCACGTTGAGTATCTTTTCCTCCATATCAATGATTTTCAAACATTATTTTATTAACAGCAGAACCCCCTTCACCTTTTATTCCTAGAATATTACACAGAACTTTAGTATAAAGCAGATTTGAGTGGTTCTGCTCTGGTTGAAACAGGGTTGGAAGTCCAGAGTCCCACCCATTGGCCATGTCTCCCTGCCACTCTTCCTGCAATCCCCATGTCTCTGAAGATTCCAAAGAAAGGTGTGAAAACCATTACACCAAAATGTTTGAAAACATCAATGGAGATCTAAAGAAGGGATAGGCCTGTCTTCTGGCATGTGTGAGTTTTTTCTTGCAAGGCTTTTTGTCTCTGTTAGCACCAACACTACCTTTCAGATATAAAAACAAAAAAATGAAAGTGGATGAATCCCTTGAAGCCATAGAAAATGATACCCACCAAAGCCCCTTATGCCCATCTTGCTGTCACTTAGCAAGGAACAGAAGTCATGAAGCTCATAATTTATAGCCTTGGTCCGACACAGAATTGTTTAACATTGCCTATAAATCAAGCTTTTTCTCAACCATTTTGTAAGTCATAGTAATTATTCTGGGTCCCAGTGGGCAGGGAGATATGAGATCTGCTGCCTTACAGGCCTTCCATCTTCTTACAGGACATGCACATCATCAGTACCGATGAGAACCAAGTGTTTGCTGCAGTTCAAGAATGGAACCAGAATGACACATACAACCTCTATATCTCAGACACGCGTGGGATTTACTTCACCCTGGCCATGGAGAACATTAAGAGCAGCCGAGGTCTAATGGGAAACATCATTATTGAATTGTATGAGGTATGTAGCCAAGATTATCCCACACCTGGGTCTGCCTCCCTTTTTCATGAATTTTAATGGTATAAACACAAGCAAGTGGGTCAGATAGCCCTGGGTGAGATCTCAGCTGTACCACTTAGCAATTGTGTGACTTGGGAAGGGTCTTCACTTCTCTGTGCCTCAATTCCCTCACCTGTAAAATGAAGAAAAAATATTTATCTCATGATTATTGTGAGAATGAGAGGTAATGTTTGTGAAGCATCTAGTGTGGGGGTTCAATAAATGTATCTAAAGTCAACATTCTTGTAGGTATGAGCATAATTACAAGTCAGAAAAAAGGGTATTTGGTCTATGTGATCTCAAGTAAATTTTTCAACTCTATGCTTCTTCTTATGAACTCTGGGTGGAGGAAACAATATTATTTGTATGCTTTAGATTATTTATAAAATCAAAATATTTTAACTTTGTGGAGATCAAACATCAGCTGTATTGCTTTTAAAAGTTTTATGGACAAATTTTATAGGAAACGAAAAGCAAACATCAGTGATGGATGTGAAGGTTCCCCTAAAATGCCACCAAATGCCAACATCTATGCATGAAGAATTGGCCTTGACTTACATTGAGTTTTTTCTCGTTTTAATATATGATTACTTTTACTGAGTGTACGCTTGTATTGTTTTTTATAAATGTCATCACTAGTTAAAGAATAATTTATCTAGGAAACCAAGTGACTCCATACAGGAACTAGATTAAACAACTAATTGTTTCAGTGACCCTAATGATGTAGTGCTTTTTTAAACCTCTAGTGACGAGTGTGTCCTTTGACAGTCCTGGCCACAGTGAAGGTAGTTGATTGACCACCTCGGTATGATGCATTGATTTGAGCAAAGAAAGTGTGTCTGAGTATCCAACATTCACCAGTGACTTGGGGGTCAAACCCACATACCTGAGCTGGTGAGGTCATCTATTCATGAAAGGTCAAGTTGTGTATGTGGGTGGTAGGCTCAGATGGTCTGGATGAGCTGCTCCCATGTGAGGTGTTTGCTTTGAGGACTGGTAGAGGCTTTCAGAACAGAGGGGTCAGTGCATGGGCTTCTGCTTCTCTTCTGCCAAAGAACCAGCATCTCTGCACTGGTATGTAAGTTGGCTGCTCGGTCACTGGAAGTGATGGTAACATAGAAGTTTCCAATTCTTTTATCAGAGTAGAAGGAGGATTACACAAACAAATGGGGTGAATGGAAGTGCATCTTAAAAAGGAGAGAAGTGAATGGCATTGATTATAAAACAAAATCAGTAGAAATATCCTGGTTTCTTAAAGAGGTAGTTGAAATGCTAAAATAATTCTTTTAAGAATAAGGTTTATTTGGAAAAATGGCCCAGATAACTTCCTAGAGTTACAAAAACTTGTAAAGATGACTACAGAGTATATATGGTTTGGGAAGCTTCCATTTCTATGCCTATACTCAGACCAGGAAGAAGAAACATACCTTTGTTATTGGGCAATAAGTCCCGGCTTGTGGGAAGGTTTAGATGGATGTTCGCAGTACTGAGGCCACTCCAACAAGTTCCTGTTTGCACAAGTGAGGCTATAAAGATAAGAGAATTATCCATGCTCCTGTGGCCAGAACCAAGAGGAGCGTAGACATTGCTGCAGATGGCATTTCAGTTGAGAAATCCCTGGGTCTCTGACCCTATTGATAATGGTGAGTGAATCTGTGACTGTGCTGTTTCTTTCCTATGGGAGCCTGAAAGCTCCTTGGTCATTTAGAACAGCGAGACACTCTCATCTGAAGTGGAACATGAATCAAAATGAAGAATGTACCTAGATCCATGTAATTTGTTTTCTTCTCGCTGAAGTCAGTCTTGCATTTTTGGTCTCATTGTGGGGAGGGAATGCATGGAGTCATTGCATCTACAGAGAAACATGATGTATCAAGCAAGGCAGCTTCTTTAACACCAGAACTGTTGAGCTGGTTCCCCATTCAATTTTATCAGGTTTTATTGTGCCCCCACTTTGTGTGCAAATCCACGAGTGAGATAGGAAAGATGATGGCTGTTACCATCATGGAGGTTGAAATCTAGTTTGTTGGGCTTTGCAGAGGTCATCAAACAATCTCCCTTTTTACCTGCCCGAGATTGGAACCAATTGAGACAGTGACAGAGGATGAGACAAATGGAGATCAAACATCACCTAACATTGAAAAGTTAGGTAGGAGGAAGTGGGCTTGCTAACACTGTGCTCTAGAACTGCACCTATCCATCCAGTAACAGGCAGAAATTGTAAATTAAAAGATCTCCTGTGGAAACCTGTTTCTATAACACCATCACCCTGAGGTACAGAAGGTCTGATCTTTGCAGGTAGATCCCCAAAAGAGCGGATGTGGGGATGAGCTGTACATGCCCAGTTCCTTTTCTCAGCATTACCTATCATTATCAGATGTCTTTCCTGATGAGAAAGAAGTGAAGAAGTGAAAGGTATGAGCCAAGAATTGGATAGAGGGTATAGATGTATAAGATTATCAGCTAACCAGTCTTACTGAATAGAAGTGATGCTTGTCTGGTACAAGAATGAGTGTTGGATGAATAATTGGAGTTAGGATTCTAGAAGGAATTTAGTACCAAGGGAATAAAATGGATCCTGACACCATCTAGACAATGAACAACATACTGAAGGTTTTTAGAGGGCGATGCTGTTTTGCACCTGGAGATACATCCTGTGATTTGGAGACAAAGCTCAATTTAATTGGTCTCTAGGGGTTATTAGACTTTAACCTTCTTCACTGGAGCTTCTCATAGAAACTGAGATTGTTATTTTCTGGACTGTGAATGCCCTTGAGTAATGCACCTGGGAAGACTGGTAAACTTTCACATTCAATTCAGCTAAATTAACACACTTTCATGGTGTGTACTCTGTTTGATGAGATGAGGCTGGTACATGAAACTGACAATCTACTGGGAAGACATGTATTAGGATAGTTAGTGATCACAGTCTAACGTTTTTTGTTGCTCTTTTTATTTTTTTTTCCTTTTTATTGAAATTATTGGGATGACACTAGTTAATAAAATTATATCAATTTCAGACTCACAATTCCACAACACATCATTTGTACACTGTCTTGTGTGTTCACCATTCCAAGTCAAGTCTCCTTCCATCACCATTTATCCCCCTATACCCTCCCTCAATTCCTTCCTCTCTCCCCCCTGGCAATCACCACACTGTTGTCTGTGTTCATGAGGTTTTTCTCTGTCTTTTGTTTTTCTTTTTTGCTTAATCCCTCCACTCTACCACTATCCAGTCCCCCACCTCCAACAGCTGTTAGCCTCCCTTCTATCTTTGAGTCTGTCTCTATTTTGTATGTTAGTTCATTTTGTTAATTAGATTCCACATGTGAATGAAATCACATGGCACTTGTCTTTCTCTGACTGACTTATTTCACCAATATAATGCTCTCCAGGTCCATTCATGCTTTTTCAAAGGGTAAGACTTTTATTAAAGTTATAATTTCTCATGTTGTGGGGTCACTATAAAGGAAGGTTAATGCTAACAAGGAATTTGGGGAGACTTGTAAATGAGTTGGCTTGAAGGAGGAATGTTGGAGCTTGAGAGAAAGACATGCCTGGTGGAGTCCCAGATGAGAAGAGAACCAGGTCTATTTTTATAGAATGTTGAGTGGCCTTGGGGAATAGTAGGGATAATGATTGCAAATATACCACTAAAAAACTCGACGGAAGACCTGGGAATTAATTCTGTGGGCTAGTATTTCTCTGTTCTTCCCCTACATCTACATACCTAGTGGATGATGTTTGCATGCATGATTTAGTCCCCTATTTCAAGTTAGTGTGTAACTTTATATGATAATGTAACAGGACACTGTACCTGTATTCCCTTGTCTGAAATGTCAGAGATGCCTTTAGGTACCACGGATGTGAGGTGGCTTGGGCTGACCATGGCCACTTAAAACTACTGACCTTTCAAGCCTCTTCCTGACACTGGAAAGAGGACGAAGAAAGCCAGAACTTATTTGAGAATTCACCTTGCAGGTCTTGGTGCTGAGAGACCTTGGTGACCCATGGGGATCGAGCCCACTAAACTCACTAAAACCTAATAAGGCAGATGCGTTATTGTTTTCTGGTCTGTTGGAGCAGCCTACTGCTGTACAGAGTCTCTTTCTTGTTCTCTCTTTAATCTTTGCCTCAAAGTACAATATTGTCATAGATGTAATTACATAATCAGGGGAGAAAATAATTATTGAAGGCCAAATAATAATCAATCTCTTCAAGCCCATTCTTCCAAAACAAGGCTACTGTTGACCGTGAATGTAGTCCATTTTGTGCGCTCACCATTATTCTTATGACACTCATTTTTTCACATCCCTAACTATAAACTATATTTATTCTTAGTTGTTCTCCACTGATAAATCAAGAAACAAATATTCTCTTCAACACCCTTAGTTATATTATGGAAACATTCTCTGAGCTGTCCGTCTGATTGATTTTCTGCAATCTTTTCCTGAATATTAAGCATCCAACTTGTAACTCCTTATAATAACAACAAGAGCATACCAGGCAATGCCTTAGACTGGTGTTGTTGAATAAATATATAATGTGAGCTACACATGCACTTCTAAATTTTCTACTACCCACATAAAAATGTAAGGTGAAATTAATTATAATGATATAATTTATTTAATCAAAATATCCAAAATATTACCATCTTAGTATATGTTTGATATAAAAAATCGCTGAGATACTTTATATATTTCCATACTAAATCTACACATCTCAACTTACATGCTAAATTTTTACCAGAAATCCTTGATCAGTATTTACATTTCCTAAAATTTAAAGTAGAAAAAAGTAAAGTCACACACCAAAGTTATTCCAAACATAATTCAAAGTTTGCCAACCTAAATCTGGCATCAGTGTTCAAATTGGTTAAAAGTAAATAAAGTTATAAATCAGTTTCTTGGTCCCACTGTCCACATTTCAAGTGCTCAACAGCCAGTGGCTATGGTATTGTACCGTATAGCCCTAATCAGCTTTTAACTTTTTCTTATATATCTATTGCAGCATCCCTTGATGGTAGGTGTCATTCCCCCTTGTGCCTTATAAGAGTACATAGATACAGACAATTTAGTAACATGGCTCAGATCACACAGCTAGTAAATTGTGGCACACTATGTTTAAACAAACTCATGTTTATGTGTCTAGAATGCCCAGGCTCTTCCCACTATGTATTTTTTCCACATCAATTTTTTTAACTGAGGTATAGTTTACATACAGTAAAATTTACTCTTTGTGGTATACAGTTCTGTGAGTTATGACAGGGCTGTACAGTTGTGTAACTACCACCACAGTCAAAATATAGAATAGTTCTGCCCTAGCTGGGTTTGCTCTATGGTTACAGCTTCAGCCCATGGACTGTAGGTTTGTGGGTTCGATTCTGGTAAATGGCATGCACCTCAGTAGCAGGCTTGATTCCTGGCAGGGTCGGGGCGCTTGCCGGAGGCAACCAATTGATGTGTCTCTCCCACATTGATGTTTCTTTCTCTCTGTTCTCCCTCTCCCTTCCACTCTCTCTAAAAAAAACAAAAAAAAAAACAATGGGAAAAAATATCCTTCATGACAAATTGTTGGATGGATACAGTGCAACTCTTTGAGGCATCCTTACTATTCTGGTCTCTTTGCCCATCTTATTGATGTTTCCTTGTCCATAATGGTTGCCTTCCACCCTCTGTTTTATCATGATCTTAGGTGACCCTATTTTGGCCAGATGGGCAGCTGCTTAGAGCCTCCACAGGGACATTTTTTCCAAACTGACCTTCATAGGATTCTCACCACAGGATTGACTCTAGGGAAAGCCCAAAGCAGACCATGGTAATTGCTTTTCTCAGCAGAGCCCTGGCTTTCTTGTCCTGAGGGCCCAAGGCGGTGAGTGACAGATGACCATGCCACCTGGACTCAATGCTCTGCCAAGGGGCCACTGTCAGTTTCCCTTTCCAATTCAAGTTGATTCCCAGAGGCAAAGTGGGTCATGCAGTCCTGACACCTTGTACTGCCCTCTTCATTGGGGCCACCGCCAGCTGGTACCCTTCTCCTTGAACTGCTGGGGCCAACAGCAGCAGCCCGGCTTCTGATTTCAAACAACAGTGGGAAGAAGCATTTTAAGGAAGATGCCAAGTACCTCCTTGGATGGAGATGAGTTAAAATGTGAATCTCATTATCTAATTCATTTACAGTGTGTATAGTGTGGGTATGTTGTGTTTCATGATTTATATGTACCTACACACGTACACATACATGCATATATGAGTCTATTAGGCTGCAACATAAATGTATTTTATTCTTGGTTTGCATTAAAAAATTTTGAAATCTGTTGGGCTTAGGTACACAAAAGCAAAGTGACCTCCAAACCTATAGTCCATTTATATGTGATACGGAGCCAAGTAGTAGTCAGTAATAATGTAAGGGCTTTGACCAATCCAAATACAAAGGGGAAGTGTTCTGGTTCCCTCAGACAAGAGGGAGAGTTGTGTGGCATTAGGTGCATCTGCAGGAGGAAGGCCTTCAGAGCTACGATGGGTTCCCTGGAGCTCTGAAAGCCCCTTCCTATACCTTCTCAGTCTCTGTTCTCCTGATTTTGCTCTCAGGATGTGTGGGAAACACAGGAAACACCCATCCGAGTGGTATAGCTCTCAGTGGGAAATTATGGTAGTGGCCATTCCACTTGCCAAACATGCTCATTCAGAAGAACACAAGAGGCGGCTGAATGGCTCATAATTTCTGCTGTAAAGCATCCCACTGGGGGCAGGGGAGGGGTTGACAGGAGCCCCACAGGAGTAGTCTTGGGAGTCTGAGTCTGACTCTGTTTTTCTCTTTTGGGAAGTGGAGAGCAAGGTGGGTGCTATGTACATGTTGCAGGGACGCCGGCTGGCTTGGGGGAGAGAGTCTTCAGAATCATTATCTGGTGGTTCCTAGAAAATACCAAAAGGCAAAAGATCCTACAGAAACTCAGATCAAGTTCTTAGTGAGGAGCAATTGGCCATCGGGGTTAAGAAAAACACCTTTGCAGCTGGTTTTAAAGAGTGAGGTGTTCTGAGGGCCTCAGGCTCCAGGATGAGCATATAAGATGCCAGCCTTCCTGAAATGGCACTGACTTTAAGCAGCGAGGGTATCTCTGTGGAAGGGCAGAACCCTGCTACCACTGCCCCTTCCCCCCCAGCTTGGCTTCTCTCCTTACCCACCCTCTGGGAATCTAATTAATTCCCCTGGTGGTGTTCTGTTCTCCTTCTGATATTCTTTGTCCATTTTTTGGTTTGTTTTTATTGGGGTTGGCATTCTCTTCAAGGCCAGTCAGGTTACTAAAAAAAGTTAAAAACAAATAAAAAGACTTCTTATTTCATCAAATAAATTATGCCATTAAAAAAAAAGAATTCCACTTTTGTGCAATTCTTTCCCACTGGCGTTCTCTCAGATCTGCAATAAATCTGTTCACCATAATTCTTAAATAATGGGCCGAAACCGGTTTGGCTCAGTGGATAGAGCGTCGGCCTGCGGACTGAAAGGTCCCAGGTTTGATTCCGGTCAAGGGCATGTACCTTGGTTGCGGGCACATCTCCAGTAGGAGATGTGCAGGGGGCAGCTGATCGATGTTTCTCTCTCATCGATGTTTCTAACTCTCTATCTCTCTCCCTTCCTCTCTGTAAAAAAAAATCAATAAAATATATTTTAAAAAAATAATGGGGGATACATACAATTAACATTTTGAGACTCTATTACCCAGAAAACCTGCCATTAAACCTTTTGTTTATATATACTTAAGCTCTTTGAATTATCTTTTAGCTTTGGAACATGCTGGGATTGGAAGGGAAGTTAAGATAATCTTTTTTTTTGCATAGGATGTTGTCAGTATAAATAGCTGTCCTCATTGCCCAGAACATAATAGACACAGTAGGAATAAAAGTTTGAGTGAATCTGTCCTTACTCTATGACCCTTCTAAATCATAAATCTCTTTTAATCCTCTAGCTCCGTGTTTTCTCGTGCTGCTCTTCTTTCAAAATATTATGGGTGCGCAACTCCAATAATTGGCAGTTCTGGCAAGAGGGCTCTGCATTACCTCATGTATCCATGCCAGCCAACCGGGAGAAAACAGGAAGAGCAGGGCAGATTCTGCCTGTTTCAAAGTGACCGCTGGCTCAAACCTGAAGATGATATGAGGGTTATCTATAGTCACACACTGAGCTAGTGGCGCAGCCAGGGATAAGTTCCAGGTGGCCACACTGGGTCATCTCTCCAAAGCATATCTACCTCACTACTAATTGGGATACCTCAACTTTCATCATTAAGGAGTATGCCGGATGCCTTTAAAACCTGTTTACCAGCTCTCCCCTCTGCCGCCTCCCCCCCGCCCCCCCAGCAGGAGGCGGGTAACTCCTGCAGTTGTTATCAAGAGCTTCCACCTTGGTGGGAATGCAAAAAGTTAGGGATCGGGCCCTAGGGGACAAAGTGCAGAGACATGTAAAGTGGGGAAAAGCAGGTGGGTAAGAGGGGAATAGGACATGTGGGTTGGCGGGTGGAGGGTGCGGAGATGAACTTAAACTTCTTTCGAGGCCACATGGCGTATGGCATGTCTCACTGTGTTCTTCCTGTCATCTTTTGTAAGTCCAGCGTCCCATAGAAAATGCTGGGACTTCTCTCTGGGCTCCTCCAAGACTGTAGGCATTTTGGCCCAACATGGTTCTCCATCTCTCACCCTTTTTCCTAGGTAGCAGGTATCAAAGGGATATTCCTGGCAAACAAGAAGGTGGATGAGCAGGTGAAGACGTACATCACTTACAACAAGGGCAGGGATTGGCGCCTACTGCAAGCTCCAGACGTGGACCTGAGAGGAAGCCCGGTACACTGCCTGCTGGTCAGTCACCCAGTCTCATGTGAGGTCCATGGGGAAGCTGCACCAGGGGCTGTTTCCATCTGGGTGCCCTGGGAACTTGGCCAGTGACGGGCGGGGATTTCCTATGACACCCAGGTGTTGATCTGTGCACTCAGACTGCCATGCCCCTTGGGTGGAAAGTTCAGTTGAACATCAGAGGCTTTTACTGAGAAAATACCACATGATCTAACTCTTAGTAAGATGAAGAAATGTAGAAGAGAAAGTGCCTGTGTTCCAGGGTCCCGAACAGCTCAGTGAAGGCAACACGCCTTTAACTGAAGCTGATATGATACAGTTTGATAAGGGTTTGGTGGAGGTCAAGGTAAGTCCAGGAAAAATCAGGCTGCTATGTCCACTTGGAGAAAGGAATCTACCAGCATTCCTAGGGTTGCAGCTATATGGGATGCTGGGGTAGGAGTTATGGAGGGCAGGATGTGTAGGATGCTATTTTCTGCCCTCAGATGCTACAACTCTAGGTGGGGAGGGAAGACAGATAATTAACAGTGATATTCACAACCGTCAGTGCCATCTTAAAGAGGACCTGTGTGAGAATTCACCTAAGGCCCCAGAAATGATTATGTTCCTCCTTAGCAAAAAAAGTTACCTTTTTCCACGTATTTAAAACGTTTATTAACCACTGAATCATATTGTAGACATTATTTTAAAAACTGGAGATATAGTGGTAACCAGGGCAACCATGGCCTTTCCCCTTTTGTAGTATCAGTCCAACTCCATTTTTTTCTTTTTGCTTGGGGGTACTAGGAAGTTCAAAGACAATGCCTACCTATCTCTAAAAACTGGTCACAGCAAGACCCTCCCCAAACAAACAAACAAACAAACACCTTATCCATGGCTTCATGGTATTTCCTTAACCTAATTTTCTACTTCCCCTAATTTTGTCCTTTTCATATTTTTTCATATTTTGTAAATATAATGCATCCCTATAAATCCTTTTAAAATATACCCAAATAGGGGCAAATAAGTAAATGAATAAAGAACACAAAAATATGTTTTAGATAATGGCTTCAAGTCTTTGAAGTAAAATTCAGTGAAATTGTAAGCAAGAACCAAATACATAAAAGCAGAAACAGGGATTATCTGTTTGAAGAAGAGACACAGGACCTGAGACTGTCTGACTCAGCTCCCCCTTTCCACTCTTCCCAGCGGGGTCCCTCAGAGGAGCAGAGTGTGATGCTCAGCATCAGACATGGGAGAAGGCCATTACCATCCTGGGCAAGGCGTGGTCAGGGAGGCTTCAGCAGGCCAACCATGAACTGGATCTTGATGAATGGGATGGGGGTGAGGAAAAGAGGGGGCAGCATACAGGGTGATGGGAGCGGGGCCAGGTTCTCAGGGCAGCTTCTCATGTGAACGTATTGCCGATCTCAGGTAGAGATGACTCCTGCCCAAACCTAAGTGTGTGACTCAATCCAATCCTTGCTGTGACTGGAAACCTAAGATCTGGTGAGGTAGGGGTGCCTGTCAGGAGCTTCCTGGAATAAATATCTTTCCTTCTTCTCCCTCCTAGCCCTTCTGCTCCTTACACCTGCACTTGCAGACCCCTGAGAATCCATATTCCTCTGGAAGAATCTCCAGCAAGGCGACAGCCCCAGGACTTGTGGTGGCTACAGGTAAGAAAGACATTCCCTGGGCATCTTCCTCACTGGGAACTAGGCAGGATACCTGGATCTCCAAGCCCATTCTCATAACCCAGGAGAAAAACTCCACATGCCCCTAACTTCTATGTTAATATGCCATCCACACAGTCCCAGAGCAGTCCCCTGTGTTTAGCAGGCAGCCAGAGTTCCTCTCAAAGTAAACTGACTGATCAGAGAGATGATTTGTAATAGGGAATTCTCACTTGAAGAAAATGCTGCCTTTGAAGTTCCTAGATCACCCAATGCAAGCTGGGCTAGTTCTCCCTTTACAGGGAGGCTTCTTCACGAAGGGTTTCACCCCAGAGCACTTTTTAATCCTAAAGTCTCTGGTGCATGTAAAGGTTTGCTTACACATGATTAACCACTAGGCGAGAGCCTGGGGGAGAGGGAGGAAAACTTAAGGTTGCATTGTTAGAACCACTGTCCTCTGAACATCAATCAGAAATGAGAATAAAGAAACTCTGAAATGAAAATGAAAGTCTCTGGGGGAAGGTGCTCTGATTAGCATGCCTTTGATTTGCATACACCTTTTCAGGAATACATTGATGGCATAAACCAAGGCAGGCTTCTAATCTTAGGAGCCAGAGCTCTGGTGGTGGGCAGCTCTTTACTAATGAAAGCAGACAAATTCACAGTGACTTTCTGAGATGGCACATTCTGTTCTTTCCCATCAGCCCGAAGCTCTGTCCCTACACTTCCTGCTCTCCTAGACAAGGCTTCAATGCCCAAACCTCCAACTGTGTGAACTTTAAATTCCACCAGTGCCCAAACTCTTTAATCAGATTGACAACTAGTGTCTCCTTCTGGCATTTCAGTCAACTTCTCTCAACCCCATAAGGTGGGGACCCACCACATTTAACACCACTGGCCTCAGAGAGCTTAGGACAGTGAGAGATGAAGGAAGGCTCTGTTGCCGTTCTCCTGGCTTGGGGAGTGATGGCCACGCTCTGTAATGCATGGGGGTATCCCTTCCCAACTCCGGGACTGCTATACCCTCTGTCTCACTGAAGGTTTGCAGGAGGCTTTGGACAGGAGTGGAAGCAACACTGGGAAACTATAATCCCTAATAAAAGTTAATGTTATTTAAATGTGCAGCCACGCTCTGTTCTGTGTGGCTTCCCTACCCTGAGCTTGAGTGTTTTCATTGGCAAAGTGGGAATCATAGCAGTGCCATAAAAGAACTGAATAGGAGTAAATGAAGCACTGGATTGAAAGTGCTCAGAACAGTGCCTAGGACATATTGAATCCTGGATACATGTTACCTATTATCATCAATAATATTCCAGAAGTTAAAGCCATTGTTGGTGCAACAGAAGAGGATGATTTGCTCACCTCCTTCCATAGAATCCATGAAGTAATCGTACACTTTGTATACACGGAATGAATGAATAATACCTGTTAACCCTGTTGTCCTGCTTTGCAGGCCGAGCTCTGATCATGGTTAGCCTCTGAACGTGGCCTAGTTCTTTAACCCCTGGGCTTTGCATTTCTCACCTATAAAACAGGGATGTTTTCTATCTTGTGAGGGCATTTGAGAATTAGAGATAGAAGAGTGTGTCTACAAGATCCAGCAAAGTGCTCAGCATAGTGAGTGGCATTACTGGTGGTTGTTATTACTTGAGACCAACATGTGCCTCTAAATTAGTCTAATGCTAAGGCTTTATAAATGAGCAAGCCTGCAGACATTAAAGATTTGATTGTTATTTTTATCCATAGATATATATCAGAATTGATTAACTTATTTTTCTTTTTCCTTTTTAACTCTTGTAACTTTGCTTGGCTTTTTGCCGGACCCTGGGATATTGGAGGGATATAACATAGCTGACAAGATCTTGATAAAGGCAGAGCTAGATCACTGACATGACTCTTCATATCCAGCTTCTCCTTACCCTGCTTGCTAACTCTCCCTGCCAAGTTATTTGCTATAAAAATAATTATGAAGTTAGCCAAGGTTTTCTTCGGTGGCCTATATGGAACCTGTCTCTCCAGGTCCCTTTCCTCCATCCAAGCATTTCTCCTGCCTTCAAGTGTCAGTGACCCGGGGTTCTCTCCCCTCCACTCCGACTACTCACTGCCTCTTCCCATCACTCATGGAGATGTGGTCTCAGGGAAGCTGCATGCCCTGAAGTATGCCCAGGATTCATCTCTAATTCCTATTGAGTCCATCAGAAGACAAGTGGAATTCCAGTCTAGAGAGTTTGGCAATTGCTTTTAGCAATCAGAAACGCTAGAGTTCTTACCATTGTGGTTTCAAACTAGTACTCAAGACATCACATCCTCACTGTGGCTTTCAGTGTGCAAAGTACTTTCCTGGAGTTTGTTACACAAGGACCCTATGGTGTAGAAAAGGCTATTACTCTTCTCAATTACCACTGAAGAGAGGGAGGACAAGGGGGAAGAAGTGTCATGCCCACGCCCACATTCCCTCTGGCTCCAAGACTAGTCTGTCAAGTAACCATTCAGCCAGACCTAGCCGGAGCCCTTCACCTATCAGCTCCACAACTAATGGGGCTTCCTGCCATGCCTCCTATAAACTCTGAATGTTCAAACCCTGGTGTTGTCCCTCCGAGGAGGCACTTTCCCTCACTGCAGTGGATTGTAAACTCTACTTCCTCCTCCTCTGAGCCCTAAATTGCTCTGGGGAGGCATCCATGATGGTGAGAGAAGCATCTCTAACTCCAGAGACTCCAAAATCTACGCTCTCTCTCTCTCTCTCTCTCACTCACTCTCTGTCTCTCTTTCTATCTTTCACCTTTCTGTCCCAAGTTTTTCAGGAATAGAAAAATGTAAGCCTGAAGGAACTGGGGAGTAAACAAGTTATTTAGAGCTGCCAAAATGTACGTGGCAGACCTCCATGATTTGGCAGCTATGCTATTGGTGAGAGAAGCTCCCTGTTCTCCATCTCACACCTCCTTCCTCACACCTGTCACACCACTTAAGTGGGGAACAGTGAGTGACACCTTCCAACCTGGCCAATGGCTGGCCGCTGTGGTAACCTTTTCACTTCCATTTTAACCAGTGAGGCCCATTATTCAAATCTTCCTTCTCTGACACCATAACCCAGACTCTTCCTGTCAGAGATTTCCCATGGGACCACTTAGGGACTGAACCTGCTCAAATATCAGATCATCCTGGAAACACTCTCAGTGTCCCTCCATCTGGGAATTGACTTTTTGGTCTCTAGGATCAGCAGCATTTCTTTCAGGGTTCCTTTCAATTGACAGAAGATATTTCCAAAAACCGACTTTATTTTTAGCCTTGGATTCTCACCACTGCAAAGACTCCACAATCAATTTTATTTGAGCGTTGAAAGAAAGGCTGAGGATGTTGGTAGAACCAGTTTTGAAAGAAGGTAAGAGGTGATGAGACATATCCTAAGAGCCCATGACAGGGATGGTAAATTCTGACTCTCAAATTCTCTCTCTCTCTCTCTCTCTCTCTCTCCCTCTCCCGTTTCTCTCCCCCATCCCCTACTCTCTTCCCCTCGTTCTCCCTCTATCCCACCCACCCTTGGAAGACATTGCTAACCAATCACCACACTCTATTCTGTTTAAATCAAATATGGCTTCAGAATCCTATTAGTACTATGGTCTAGGCAACCATCACCACGCAACCCATTCTCTGCCCCATCCTTCTTATCTTTATCTGTATCTTCCAAAACCTGTATCTGTAGAATGGGATTCCAAATTCAGGATAGATATCCCCAGAGCTGCCTGCCATGCCCCCCTCCCCCATTACACTTGCACCTCCTGCCTTAGCCCTGAGCCCTAGGGTTATTTTTGGAAGCCTGAAAGTCAAAACAACTAGTATAGCTGTGTGCTCCTGACGCTGATGGGAGCTTGACAAGCTGGAGTCTGACTTTAATTTCTTATTTTGAAACATTAAATGCCAGGAACTCAATTAACATTTTCATTATTGCATTTTTATTGTGTTCTTATTTAGGCTACAGATGTGTGGGAGCCAACATTCCCTTCCTGCTTTTTTAAAAGAAAAAACATCAGTCAAAATGATAAATTCTTACATGTTTAGGGTACTTTCCTGGTTTTCAATACCTCCCCAAATGCACATCCGCCTTGGAACACAATTCAATCATGTTTCTACTCATTCATTCATTCATTCATTCATTCCACAATTAATATTGAGCAACTAACTACTACATTTGGAACACTGTTTTAAGCTCTGTGGAGGATGGGGTGTTCATTGGGGACACTTGGAAAATACAAATATACTAGAACATCACGATCACTTTCTGTTATAATAAATATAACCACAAGGTGATGAAGTACAAGAAGAAGAAAAAGAAGGTGAAAGACAAAGAAAGAAGGGATAGAGGCAGAAGTGTGGCCAGTCTAGGCATAAACCAGGTGACTGCTTTACCCGCCATGCTTGATGGTCATGGTCTGCTAAGTATAGTTGTCTTATTCTGAAAACTCTATAATTTAGGTTGCATCATCTATACTATTGAGTTACTCAGCTGCCTGGAACTCCAAGAGACATATTGTCAAGTTAAAGTAGAAAATACATATACAGACACACATATGGATACACACACACACACACACACACACACACACACAAGCACGCGCAAGAGGGAGAGAGAGAGAGAGAGAGAGAGAGAGAGAGAGAGAGAGAGAGAAAGTGTCCTCATCCCAGCTTCTTCATGCATGTCTACTCTTCCACTCTTTGCCACCTTTATGGAATACCTGTTGAGATCAATTTTTAAGAAATTATTAGTGTACAGCAAGCATGTCAAACTCGCAGTTAGGCATGCAGCCCGCCGGCCGCAAGGTTGACATGCTTGGTGTACAGGATGAATAGTTCAAGAGATCCAAACTAATTAGTATTCAGCCTTTGAGATTTTACCATTTAAAGACTCATTCCTGTCACATTGTTTACTTTTTTCTCATATTGGGTTTATCTTCCTGTTGGATTTTTGATATGACACCAAGAAAGAAAGTGTACAAATAACCCTAAACATCACTTGGAAAACCTTTACTCACTGTTCCCCTCTCCCCTAACCCCAAGCCCTCATAATCTGTCAACTGCCTGACTATTCCAAATACTCTGCTTATGTTTCAGGTAACATTGGCCCGGAGCTCTCATATACTGATATCAGTGTGTTCATCTCTTCTGATGGGGGCAACACGTGGAGACAGGTAACTGGGAGATTTGGGGACAGGGAAGAAGCATTTTGGGCAATCTCTGCCAAACTATCACCTTCCTATAGATTCTCAGGTTCATTAAGACTTTGTGGTTTCAAAGAAATGGAAACAGCTGTTCAGTTTGGTCAATTGGGCTAGCAGATTAGATGGCCAATAGATCAAATGGGAAGCCACTGGGCAGGGAATAGGAGGAACTGGAATTTTCTCAATTTCTTCATTCTTTTATTCAACAATATGTGTGAAACAGTCACTAGATGTGAAGTACTATGCTGATTGCTAGGGATGCAACCAATAAAATGTTTCTATCATTAATGTGCCATGAAATCTTCTTGGCAAAGAGGTCTCTTCACCTTTCCGTTTGTTTCTTTACCTGCAAGATGAAGGGGATAGACCAGTGGTCGGCAAACTGTGGCTCGCGAGCCACATGCGGCTCTTTGGCCCCTTGAGTGTTGCTCTTCCTAAGCCTTAGGAGTACCCTAATTAAGTTAATAACAATGTACCTACCTATATAGTTTAAGTTTAAAAAATTTGGCTCTCAAAAGAAATTTCAGTTGTTGTACTGTTGATATTTGGCTCTGTTGACTAATGAGTTTTCTGACCACTGGGATAGACTATTAAACCAGCAAAGCCATGGAAGTCTGTGGGTAAGTATTGTGTAGGTCTAGCCATAAGTGAGTATAAAAAAGCTTCATAGATACATGGCTACATGAAAAAATAATTCAGTTGCACAAACATTTGGAGCAGTGCTGTCCAATATAACTTCAGCAGTGATAGAAATGTTCTGTATCTGTGCTGTCCCATGTGGTTACTGAGCACTTGAAATGTGGTGAGTGTGATAGAGAAACTGAATTTTGAATTTTGTTTTAATCAATCTAAATTTGAATAGTCTCATGCGGCTACTCTGTTAGACAACAGAGATTTATGCAATGTCAACTAGGTGTCAAGTACAAAACCGAGAAAGCAATTGAATATTTCAGATTCCTTTTCTCAAGGAGCTCAAAATTACGTAGAGGAAATGAGCTCATAACTAACTAGAGCTTAGGGTGATTGTTTCAGTGGCATTGTTAGCACATAGAGAAAGAAAAGGAAGGAGTTGTTCTACTTGGGGAAACTGGGAAAGACTTTATAAGATGAGCTGACATTTTACTAAGTCTTAAACGTAAGAAGATTTCTACCTGGGAAGGAATTGAGAAGAGCATAGGATATCTTTTCTTAAAATATATTTTTAAAATTAATTTCAGAGAGGAAGGGAGAGGGAGAGAGATAGAAACATCAATGATGAGAGAGAATCATTGATAAGCTGCCTCCTGCACACCCCACACTGGGGATTGAGCCTGCAACCCAGGCATATGCCCTGATTGGGAATCAAACCATGATCTCCTGGTTCATAGGTGACACTGAGCCATGCCAGGCAGGAGGAATATCTTAATGATAGTGAAGTCACCATATGAAATCTAGTTGGATAAGTTCCTGTTTTAAACCCTTAGTAAAGATTATCATCACCGTCACCAACATCATCACCACCACCCCATTGCCACCACTGTCACCACTACTACTATCCAAAAAAATTTACCAAGGACCGACTAGACACAAACAAGTAGTTCAAGGCATACAACAAGGCCATAATCAGGTGGATAACACACAGACACATAAATGAAAACATACTTTCAAAATATAAGATAATATATTATAAGTGCCCAATGAGGATAAAAGCTGCGATGCAAACTCTTTTAGTATAGAAACTCCAAAATCACAAACCATTGACCCTCCAACTCAAGGAATAGCTCACTCACCCAAGTGGTGACTGCAACAGTCTGTCCTTGTACTGTCGCTACTTTGACATTCTTTCCTCTTTCCCAGGTTCAGAGTTTTTGTTTATATCCGAAATATAAATGAATCTTCCTTATGTTCTTTGTGCATTAAGACTCACTATTAGTATGGACATTTTTCTATCCTTAAAACTCAAATATGGGAATGTAAACCAATTGAAGTTTGTCCTGAGAATCCACTTTTTTCCCCCTATAGTGTTTCCTGGGCCAAATGTATAAGAGGCTCCATTCCTCTGAGTATAGCCCTTTTGAATCTGCCTATTCCTCCTTACCCCTTCTGGTACATCTCACCTCACATCCCAACCTCTCCATCCAGGCTACAAGGAGCATCATTAGTGCTTAAAAGTTAAAGGGATTCCTCAGTTCCACTTTTCTCTGGAAGATTTCAAGTAGGAGGTTGATTTTCTGCTGGAGAGATGTATTTTTTTTCCTATTTCAGGTTGGAGATTTGAAAGTCATATATACCAGAAGCATTATGATATGTGGGATTGGGTTAAACATTCTCTTAACTAAGAGCCTTGCATTATAGCAGATGCATAGCAAATGCCTATGTAGATGGATGGATCATGGAATGAATGAATGAGTGAGTGGATGGATAAATAGATGATAGAAAGTGGATAAATCAAATAATATGAATTACTTTGGGTCCCCAGGAGTAAGATGATTCCATGAGTATTTATTGTAAAGATCCCTAAGCACCAAATTTAGGTCTTTATCTATCTTGCTGGGAAACCTAGGAGGTGGTGGCTAAGTCTAAGAACTCAGTCATCATGATTTCTAAAGAAAAGTAGTTTATCTTCCTAGATAATTATAAACAGCACTATACGACACAGACCATTTATAAATTAGCCAACATCTGCATGGTTGAGGATGAAGAGAGTACTGAGTAGTTACCTACTAAAATAAATATGGGGAAGCTTTTTGAGTCATATTATCCTTTGGAATATCCAGTGGAGCATGCATGGTGTTGCCTCCTTTTCTTGTAGCACACTGGCTCACAGAAAGAGCCATCAGAAAGCCATTTCCTTAGTCTAGGGAGAGTTGTTTTTTCTCTGCAAGCCCATTTCCTCACCTGTTAAACGGGGGTGATAGTACTTGCCAAATTGCCTGATAGGGTTGCTAGAAGAAGAAACAATGTATGTGAAAAACTTGTAAACTGTGAAGCACTATGCAAATGTAAGGTATTGCTATGATTGTTGTTGTTGTTGTTGTTCCAGATCTTTGATGAAGAGTACAATGTCTGGTTCCTAGACTGGGGTGGCGCCCTCGTGGCCATGAAACACACACCTCTGCCAGTCAGGCATTTGTGGTAAGGACAGCTCCATACCCTGTTCATGAGCAGGAAGGATTGGGACAAGTTACTCTGCATGGTTTTGTGCCCATTCACCCATTTCCTCAATCATGTATCCATCCATCCATCCATCCATCCATCCATCCATCCATCCATCCATTTAATATACATTACATCCTCTAACTCTTAGGTAGTAGTAGTAAGACAGTTAATTTAGTTGGGGAAATATGATATATAGTGAGATGGTAGGAATAGGTGCTCAGAAAAGGCAAAAAAGAGCAGGAATGACTTCTGAGTTCAAACAGACAAAGTTAAGAATCCAAAATATGTGAGATGGAAATTGCTTCAAGAAGAATGTTAGTGCATGTAGCAAATACTAAGTTCAGCTCTAGATAATTTGAGTTTGAGATGTCTATAAATATTCAAGCAGAGATGATCATTAGCTGTCAGATGTACGCATCTGAAAATCAGGCCAGAGGTCTGGGCTGACACTCTAGATTTGGAGTTATTTAGCCATTAGTTGGTAGGTAAAGCCATGGAGGTGAGGTCAGTTTCTCGGGAGAGTGGGTACAACAAGGAGAAACCAAGGACTCCTATGGAACACTGTTGAACACTAACATATAGAGCGGAAAAAGAAATTATAGAACAGACTAAGAAGAAATAGCCAAAAAGATAAAAACCCAGGAGAAATATTTTCTTAAATGCTGAAAGAAGAGGTGATCAATAGCCCCAAGTTTTATAATCAGATATATCAGTTATGGAATAAAAAAATATCTAGGATTAAGGAATATAAGATATCATTGGTGATCTTTGTCAGAGTACATTCAAGAGAGGTGGGGTTAAAAGGTAGATCGCAATAGATTTATGAATGAATGAATGAATGATAAGCAGTGGGGTAACAGAGTGTAGATAATTCTTTTCAAGAAAGTACATTATGGAAGTTGAGATACATACACAGTGAGGACAAATAGCTGAGTGAGGATATATTATTATGTTGATGGTTTTACTAGTAATAATGATGCTACTGTTGTTTGCTTTTGTTTGGGGAAGCGGTTGGATAAGTTTCATACGTGTTTATATCCTGAAGAGAAAGACTTTCAAGTGCAGCCAAGTGAATATATGAGCGTGAATATTTGGTGGTAGAGAGTATGTTGTCTAGAGTGCAGTTGGGATCAGATTACCTATGGGCTGGAAGTTGGACTCTGGCTTAAATACCAGGCCCATGATTTGTGGAGTAAGAGTTTTTAGAGACTTTTTCTGAAAAGTATCAGATTGTAATTAGGAAATGGTATAGGATCCCTAGGTGCCAAATCCAAGCGTTAGCCACCTTGGCAAGGGCTTGCGAAGGTTTCTCTCCATCTAGCCATTTATTAAGTTAAACCATATGAAATTGCCATTTTTGTAAGTCAAAATGGAGAAATATTATCAGTTTCTTAGCGCTCAGCCCAGCATGAAGTAAAATGATTACACCTACCACTATATCTTCTTACAGAGAGATTGTAACAATACATTTTAAACTGATACATGGAGCCATTTGCAAAGAAAGTGCTCTACCAACTCAAGAATGAGCTTGTAAAAGTTCCCAGTGTAATTGTTTATCATCCTTTTACTGCTGATCATATACTTTTTGGGTAGTATCAGAGGAGTGGAAATAGGTGGTTTTAATGATAGTCAGCAATTACTGAAGGATTATTACAATCCCGACTCTGTCCTAAACCTTTACATGAATTATCTGAGTTACTTCTGGAAACAACCCTATGTATTGGGTACTCTTTTTATCACATATTTATAGTGGCATAGAAATGCAGACATATTAAATACCTTGCCCAAGGCTACACAGTTAGTACTGGCAGCACTAAGCTGGGTTTTAATCACTAATTTCCAGATACTTTAATGAGTACACAGAGGCTTGTCACATGGCCATGCCTTCTGGAAGATGATAGTCAAAGAGTGTTGATAGTGCACATATCATCACAAATCAAAGCAATGCCTGCTGAAGGGTCTTGGAAGAATATATTGCTGGAATCCTGAAGGAGTCTGATATGAAAGGGGATTTCATGAAGCAGGTGGCATGAGGGTTGATCCTTGATAAAAGGATGTTGGGAGGAGGAAGAATGATGGGAGGCAAGTTAAAGGAAGAGAAAACTTGACCAAAACCAGGAATTCAGAAAATGTTGGGAGTGTTCAGAAGACTCTATTTGGTAGGAACCAAGAATGTAAGTAAGTAAGTAAGTAAGTAAGGTTGGATAGGACTATGAAGAGCTTAAATGCCAGTTTAAGGGGTTCCATGTTGAACCTGTAGGTAATTCCTCCCACTATGAAGACCTATCTCTCCTTTGGAAGGAAGAGCTCTCTCTATTTTGGCTGAGTAGGACTTGTACTCTCAAAGACAACAGCTTGACTATTAAAACAAGTTTGTTTGTTTGTTTGTTTGTTAACCAATAAAAGCAATGTTTCTCAGCCCCTATTATGATGTTTTAAGAACCTGCATCTAAATCTCAGTTAGAGAATTGATAAGTGCTCCCTGGACAGATATAGTTGGACAGATTTCGCCCACTTAAGTCCTAGGAGAAGAGGGTGGCAACCCCATCTTACACTTGAGCAGCACCCTCCTGCTCTTCTCCATCATTATAGTAGAAACCTAGGATTTACTTAATGGTGGGTTTGTAGAGCCTTTTGCACAAACATTTTCTTGTTTTAAGGGAATGAGAAGTTTGTGGCGGTGTTACCCTTGTTTCCTTTTGGTGATAGAAGAGGAGAGTATATTTGGCCTGAAAGAAGAGTAAGGAGCAGAGGACCTAGACAGAGTTCTGGCTTTGTCGAATCTTAGCATCCTCACATCTGACCCTGCAGTCTGTTCTGCAACAGTTTCTCTCCAGGGACCTGATCACTTTCAGATGGAGCACTTGTCTGGAAATTTCTGGAAAGAAACCATCTTAAGTTGGGAAAATTATTTAATATTCACTCAGGGATATGTAAGTAGGATCAAATCATGCCTTTCAAAGTCATCAATACTAAGTTTGAGTTTTCTTTTGTTCCATGATGTATCTCTTCTGTTAGGTGAAAAATATTTATAAAGCTCAATAAAAATAAACGGCATTCCCATTGAATTACCTCTTATAATAATAATAATGATAATACCACTCTCCAATTGTTCGCCTACTCCAGCTTACACAGGATAAAAAATGATTTTTCAAAATAAGCTTTTGAGATAGGATTTTCTCCATATAAAGGACATTGACCCTGTCATTTGTCATAAATGCTACCAATGTTTCCCTGAACTTGGACATCACCCATGATTTCTGCTTACTTGCTTATCTATGCATGTCTTTCTGAAAGCATGCCTGCAGTTGTTAAATGCCAGCTACTGTTTTAGAAAACAACCACAAATAACTCATTCAGGAATTCTCCTTTGAACTTCTGTTTCAAATGCTAAGTGAATGTTTTATAAGGGCTTGACCATATCATTATCATCAATGTTTCCTTAAGAAATTCTTGACTGATTTTTGTCGCCCGCTTATGAATTGCAAGCTTGAGAAACTCCAACTCATTTTCTTCATTACCAGTAGTTTCTAATTAAGTCACAACCTTCAAGATAAACACACAGCTCACTTTTAGTGGAAGAAAGGTTAAGTAATTAGTTCATTGTTATTTTCTCTTGTATGTCTCAGACTGATGTCATTTTATATACAGCTGTATTTATATTTGCATAGGAAAAAGACACCAGCCTACCCACTCTCACACAAAGGTATTATGGCTCTCGAATTTAATAATAGCTACATTGCCTTTTAGAGAAAATTGGTGTCATAATTGAAAAATGGGAGAAACTTTAGCTAAGTTAACAAGGCATGCTGTTTCCCATAAATTGAAATGATAGGGAGCTAGATATGCATGAAGACAAAACAGCATACAAATGAACCCATCTACTTGTGACCAGGTACATTTGGATGTACATTCAAAACCTAAGTGGTATTTCAAGTTAGCCTTCCATCCAGCATTACCTTTGTATGTTAGAAGCATTAGAGGGAAGTGAACAATGGAGTCCCGTGGCTTCAGTGCTCTAATGAAAACTCACAATAGACAGAACTACTAATCGGCAGGTAGACTGGGATCCTATCGTTCCCTTAGCTGTCAGTGTCTCCTTTCAATGGGTTGTTCTTGGAAACTGAAAGTGAAACATCACCTAGCCTTTTTTGTTCCTTTGTTCTTCTATAAATGGTTGTGAGCATCAGCTTTTTGTTCAGAGAAACATTCACAGGAAAACAATAGTTTCACCGAATATGTGTCTTTGCGAAGTGAAAGGCATCTGCTATTCTGAAGACCTTCCCAGTGGCTAAAATGCCAGCACCTCATGCATTGCAATAAAATAAAATCGAACAATACATCTCATGGAAGGGAGGGACATTGATTCGCAATGACCATTATAACTCTGTTTCTGTGCTAGGCACTTCTGGGGAGGGCTCTGGTTGTTCCTGGAAGACGCTGTTCTGTTTTAGGGGAAGTTATCTCTATGTCATAAAGTCATAGAATGGTCTTAGAAGACATGTAGTCTACTTTCACAAACCCAGCATAGCAAATATCTCTGTGACATCCAAGAGGCTCTGTCTACTTCACCAGGGTGCCACAGTGCTGACCAACTTGCAATACCCAAGACAAAGAGTTCCCATCTCATGAAAGATTGTTTTTGTGCTGAGCAATAATGAGCCTGCTTGTAACTTCTCTCCATCAGTCCTTGTTCTGCTGGACAGATCTATGCAGAATGTTTGCTCCAGTATTGCATGTGATTATTAGACTGGGGGAAAGGACCACAGTTGGAAAGGACCTCAAGATATTTCTTTGCCTTTACAAGTTCTGGAGAATAATCAGATATGCAGTTTAAGACATATACATTTTTCATTTATTTCTCACATATTCATTGAGCATATACTATTTATCCACCATTAGTGTAAGTGTTGGGATATACCAATGAACAAAACAAAATTTGGGGGAGCTTATATTCTTGTATACAAATATTTGACTCTGATCTTTAGAAGAATTATGAGAATGGATATCTTTTCTCCCTTATTCCAACTGTATTCTTAATCAATATTTTTATGCATTTAACTATATTTTTTCAAGTTTTATTCAAAGACATTATGCATTTTCAATAGTCAACAGATATGATTGTTTTTGTTTGTTTAACTCGGGGGTCCTCAAACTACGGCCCGCGGGCCACATGCGGCCCGTGAAAACATTTTATCCAGCCTGCCGGGTGTTTTTGCCACCGCTGTGTGCATAGGAATTTGTTCATAGGTTTTTTTTAAACTACAGTCCGGCCCTCCAATGGTCTGAGGGACAGTGAACTGGCCCCCTGTTTAAAAAGTTTGAGGACCCCTGGTTTAACTATTTGGAAGATTTCTACTAAAAATGTTATAAGGCAATGGTAATTTATTTAGCTCTATTATTCTCTTCCCTAAGCTATCTTCAAGTCATACAACCTGTTTCTAGAACAACCTGCTTTTTACCTTTAATCACATTGATTTTCAGTCAGTTTTCTACAGTGATTGAAACTGAACATAGTACTTAGGATCTGGTAGAAGGATAATTTATTTTATTATGCATGCTATCTGTCTGTGAACACATGCTAGACTCAGTGGCTTGATTACCTCTCACCATAGTGACATTTATGGGAAATATTTACCTTGAAACTGACAATGACCCTGGTTTGTTTAGCTTGAGTTTATCATTAGTAACTATTTTCCTTTCTCCAACTATGGGTCTTTTTTAAAAATAAAAGTAAGTTTCATGCTTTAATTCGGTCTTACCTTATAAGTGACTTCTAAATCTACATTCCCAGCTTTGATCACTCCCCAGAAATGCAGATCCATCTATCCAAAGGCCTCCTTGACAGGGTCACAACTTGGATGCCCAAAAAGCATTTGAATCCTGATGTGGACCTAATAGAAACAAACAAATAGAAAAAAAGCTTTGCTTCTCTTTTTCTTTTCATTTCCCCATCTCAGTTGCTTCACCCTCCAAATTCACATTGTCCATTGTTTCTTTCTTCTGCACAGGCAATCATATACATTCTATCACCAAATCCTATTTATTTCACCTCTAAAAATACCTTAAGTCTTTCCATGTCATTCTATCTCTACTGTTATAACCTTTGTCCAAACTTCTCCTCTGACTCGGTCTCTGGGCCAAACCTCCCCCCAATTTATCTTCTTACATCCACTTTGGCCTGACAGTCCACTCACCACACGCACACACAAAATAAGTTATATTTTAAAGTTTAAATCAAATCCTATCTTTCCCATTTCAACTGGCAAAAAGGACCTATTGTTTTGCCTCCATTGCCTTCTGCTAATTTCCTTTCCCACTAATCTACAATCACTGATCATTTTTCAGTTCCTCCCACACAGCAACTTCATTTCACATTAGATATTCCCTCTGGAATGGCTCTCACCTTGATCTTTGCACAGCTAGTTCCTTATTATCATTCAGATCTCTGTTTAAATGTCACCCCCTCAGAGAGGACTTTCTTAAATTTCCAATACAAAGTAGCTATTCCATCACTCTCCATCACATCACTCTATTTTAATTGTCTTCATGACACTTTTCTCTAACTTATATTTTTGTATCCATTTATCTGCATATTGTTTGTCTCCTCAAGCTAGAATTTAAGTCCTATTGAAGCTAGGGCTTCCCTTTCTTATTCACTGCTATATCCTCAGAACAGAGGGCACTGCCAGAGCTGCCACATTAGGCATCAATAAATATTTGATAAATGAATTTCATTTTATTTGGATTTGATAGTCCTGTCTTGCCACTATTTAGAGGCCAATGATAACTTTCCTCCTGCCTCTCTGAGTATTGGCAATCCTACCAATTTCACCTGGGGACCTAATAAGAGAATTCCTAATTCCTTTGTCTTGGCCATTAATGAGCTATTGAACCGAGGAAGAAAAGGTGCATCTCATGGGGATACTATTCAATATAGTTACCTCAGACCATTTAAAAACTCCAAGTCACAAAAACGAATCACTGTCACAAGTGGCAAGTCAGCCAAATTTCTGATACTCAAGAGATTAAATTTTTTGATGTTGTATTTTTGGGAGTTTCTTTAGGAGTTTTGCTTTGTTTTCAATAATTAGTTGAGCATTAGGAATTATTCATCTTAGAAAGTTTTTTTTTTAATGTCAAGGCATACACTGATAATTTAGGAATCCATAAAACTTTTACGAACAACTGTCTACTTTTTGTTTCTGGATGTAGACCTAAGTACACCATAATTACAAAAATTGTCTGAGAGGCTAATTATTCTAATGGGTCAGGAGATTGACCTTCTAATTCTTTTTAATTAATATATTGGGAAAGAGAGGATAAGACAGTGAGGCAGAGAAAGAGATGGAGAGGCTGCGAGAATCAAAGTAGTAGAGAGCAGACTGAGTAGGTTGACGAGCCATGGGGAGAGGCTCCCACATCCAATTCACCGATGCCAGTATAAGTCAATGCTTGAAAAAAGGCTTGAGTGGATTAGAAGAGTGCTCTCAATCATTCCTTATGTTTTTTAATTCATGTACTCATTTAACCTTTATATAATAACACGTGCCATTTTTTCTGCTAAGTACTAAGAATGCAAAAACGAATGGCATGGTCTTTGACCTCAAAGATCTCCTGGTTCGGTGGGGAAGTCAGACATTTTTTTTTTGATAATATATATGTAATATCAGGAAAGGGGCACTGTAATAAAGATATGTAGCTGGAGTTAAGAGGTCATTCAGTGAACATGACATGCATGACCCCTCTGAACTCCCAAGATTATAATGTTGAATGAGAGATTCAAGATAAGTGAAGAAGCCATCAATCAGGGCTACGATAGAAGAAGGCATAGGTCTTATAGGAAAATAGTCTGCACAACTGAACTCAAAGAATCCTATGTTGTGGAGTCAGAGAACAATTAAAAATTCACCTGGCCAAGCCCTGGCTGGTGTGGCTCAGTTGGTTGGGTGTCATCCTGTGCACCAGGAGATTGCTGGTTGGATTCCCGGTCAAGGGTACATGCCAGGGTTATGGGCTCGATCCCCAATAGGGGGCCTGCAGGGGGAAGCCAATTGATGTTACTCTCTGACATCAGTGTTTCTCTCTTTCTCCCTCTCCCTTCCTCTCTCTCTCTAAAAATCAATAAATTATGCTTTAAAAAAATAACCCGTTTTAAAGAACAGAAGGATCACAGAGAATGAAGGGTGTCAGGAAAAGCTTTCCAGAGGAAATGGTCTTTGGACTGTGTCCTCTGGTTAAGTCAGAACAGGCAGGTACTTGATAATTCCAAGAAAGGGAAGGAAACAAGCAATCAGAACTGCTTAAGTCCTTAGCAGCATTCCTTAAAGAGTTTCTGATGTGGTATCCACAAAGGGCCAGACCTTCCTCTTACCATTGGAGGAAAGATGGCACAGTGCTGCCCGGAACATCTCAGACACTCAATACTCATCTATAAAAACCCCTTAGAATGGCATCAGGGAGGGGAAATGATCCTAACATCCATTCTGAACAAATAGGAAATTGCTTTTTTTAAGGTATGATCTGAAAGACACACACCTCCCCCTCCCATTTGGGTACACTCGGCACTACTCAATTTATCTGTATCAAAAACTCCAAGGGCTGAATTGATTGTGCAGTAAATTGAACTTCGGGTTCCATTCTGAGTACTTGAAACGTGACACTCCATGCACTGATCTCCCTTGCTTGGGTTGTGGTTTCTATTCTAATATGTTGAAATATTTCTGCAGCCCTGGTGTTGTCTCTGCCTGGGCCAGGAAATGCAGTTTTGATCAAATCTCATAATAATATGGAGAGATGTTGAAGATTACTCCCTATTGATAATCCAAACTGCCAGACAGCGAGATGCGGGGGAGAATTTAATAACCTGCAAAATTGTTGCAGAAGAGTGTGATTTTATTTTCAGCTGTCTCTTTCATGTATTCTGACCCAGGGTGAGTTTTGACGAGGGCCTCTCCTGGGACAAGTATGGTTTCACTCCGGTTCCTCTCTTTGTCGACGGGGCTCTGGTGGAGGCTGGAGTGGAGACCCAGATCATGACGTGAGTACTTCTTTTGCTTTTGATCTAAAGCAGCAGTTCTCAACCTGTGGGTCGCAACCCCATTAGGGGTCGAACGACCCTTTCACAGGGGTTGCCTAAGACCATCGGAAAACACGTATATAATTACATATTGTTTTTGTGATTAATCACTATGCTTTAATTATGTTCAATTTGTAACAATGAAAATACATCCTGCATATCAGATATTTACATTATAATTCATAATAGTAGCAAAATTACAGTTATGAAGTAGCAATGAAAATAATTTTATGGTTGGGGGTCACCACGACATGAGGAACTTATTAAAGGGTCGCGGCATTAGGAAGGTTGAGAACCACTGGTCTAAAGGAACCCAGAGGCCTGGGTTCTACTCTAACCCATCAAGGCCATGGTTTTTCCCAGGGAGCCCTATACTAAAACATTTCAATCTCTGGGCTGATGTTTCCTTATCTGGAAAATGGAAATGTTTATGCTTGTACATAAATATTTATGATCAACAGACCAGAGAAGAGAAGCTAGGTTACTCATTGAAATGTTAAGATTTCTAGAATTTAAAATAGTATGGTAACAGTTTTCCATTCATCCAAAACCCAAACAAACAGAAATCCTATGTCTTTACATGTGTTTCTCTTTCCAAAACATTCCAGTAAGATACTAGGGACAGGGACAAGAGGAAGCAAAACAGCCAACACACTGAAAACATAGAATATTTTAAGAGAAACTCCTACAGTCTGCCACATTCACACTCACGCACACTCACACACTCACTCATACACACTCACGCTTACAGTTGTTTTTGTTCCACTTTAATTTGTTGTCAAAATTTGTCTGTATTCCTTTACAATGTGAATAGATGGTGGGATATAGATCTTCAAGTTGTAAAAAGCCATGAATTACTTTCTGAATATTGAAGAAAATAATGATTTTTTTTCTAAAAGTATATCAAATTTAAATCCCTAAAAAGTTGACTGCCTGTGTGTGTTTGTGTGCATGTATGTACGTAGGGGATATGGGAGAATAGTTATGGTGATCCTACACCAGCTGGTACCACCTCCTGAACTCCTATAATAACAAGAAGACTCTATGGCTAAGCTGTCAAATCACTTTACTAAGAGTTAACAATATTGGATGTGAGTTTATCTGTACAAACCATAAAGAGTATTTAATGCTTAGAGTCTAAAGCTACATCATTTGATGAATACACAACAATATGTAACATAAGTATGAGTTAAGTTCTAGATATTCTAAGGCAGTAACATAATATAATTTTTTTCTAAAATACAAATGAATCAGTATAGTGGTTATATATGCAAGTGTGTGTGTACAGACATGTATATACACATATCTATATCTATCTGTATATATATATGGAAAGAGAGAGAGAGAGAGAGGCAACAGAGATTAGAAAGAAGTCCCAAGGACCTATGGATCTAGGGTCCTAGAAAGATCTTTGTAAAGTTATACTGTAAAAATAAACAAACCCAGAAATACCTACTATGTGCCAGATACTGTTTTAGATGAACAAAAATGAAAGAAACTCCTGTCCTCTTGGAGTTTGCATGTTTATACATTAAATAAATATGATATAAAAAATCTCATGTTACCCATAATACTCTGCCAAGAGATTAGACATTGTTCTTGTGAATTCCAGGAAGTGGATGGAATATTAGAAAAAAAAAACCATCTTTTTTCAGAAGGATCTCTGACCATGAGCTGACACTTCCAAATTATTTCCCATCCTTCACTTAATCACTAGATATAAAAATAAAACCTTCATCTTTTCTAGGACTTTGTTTGATGTGGACATCAAAGAGTTTAAGTATCAAGCTCTACATTCTGTAAGGCAAGGTACATACATCCAGGAAGGTTGTGCAGCCTGCTTCAATTTATCAAGGCAGATGTAACTGCTCACCATATCCAAATTTTAATTGTCCCAGCATCTTGGGCAGTGAAGATGTACATGGCCCTACAATCAGGTATTCCCTGTGTCTGTACCAGAGAGACATGCTGGTCTTCCTTTCATTTGGGCTTCTCCTCACCACATAATGTGCTTTTTCCTACATTCTCTTCTAGGAGGCCTATTGAACTCATTGCATGCTCCTCTTGGTCATCATTTTGAACAATATCACATGGATTCTAATTTCTACATGACCTGGCATTCCCTAACAAACTTAAGGCCACAGTTTAAACTCTGTTCATCCAGTCTTTAATGTTAATAATTTTCCCCTCAGATTCAGATAGAGTTTAACTGGTCACATGGATGTGAGAGAGATTGACCTCAGGGCCAAACCGTTTACTGAAAAGACTAGAGAGCACTTCTATTTCCCTTTCCTCCCACTAAAACTCCATAAGAGTGTGGCCGAGTTTCTGCCCCCACTTCTACCTTGCTTATTGCAATATGTTAAATGCTACTAAGTAGAAAAGGAGCTAGAATAGTGCATAATTTTCTTATAAGACAGGAAAGGATTTGTCCTTTCATGAAATGAAGATGAGTTTGGCAGCAGTCATCTACCCAAGTATAAATAATTCAGGCTCCCTGTTTTTGACTTTTTATTAAATTCAACATTTTTCTAGTGTGAAAATGACACAAGTTTTTCCAGGGCTCTTCACATAGCCAGAGGGTGAGCTCTTAAAGGATTGTCAAGAGGCAATTTCTGCTTCTGTCCTAGATTTGAAAGGATTTTAAAATCAAGTGGCCCACTAGGTAGGGCTGACCAGTGCTGTTTCCTCGTGTAATGACAATGGCAAGAATGGGAGCAGGAGTTCAAAAATTTTTTATATATTTCTTAGGAACTATGAGGACAGGGAGACCATTTGGGGACAAAATGCTTAACCTTGCAATTTCACCAAAACCTTATTACTGATGTAGGCTATCCTTCTATATCCTTCCCTTCTCTGCTAATCCTGACTCTGTAGCTTAGCTGTAGTGAAGGAGAAAAAAAAAAGTTTTACTGACCTATCTTGTTAACTTCATTTGAAGGATTTAAATGGTTTTTAAATGGTTTTTATGTGTAAACTTGACTGGGCCATGGTGTGCCTAAACATTTGGGCCAAACATTATTCTGGGTGTTTCTGTGAAGGTGGTTTTGGATACGATTGCCATGTAAATGAATAAACTAAGTAAAGCAGATTGCTCTCCCTAATGTGGGTGGACCTCATCCAATCAGGTGAAGGCTTGACTAAAACAAAATCCTGTTCCTTCATTGAGCAAAAGAGACTTCCTCCTGCCTGGTGCTTTCACCCTGGAACATGGTTTTTTCTTGCCTTTGGACTCCAACTGAAACACTCACTCTTCCTGGGTCTCAAGCCTGTCAGCCTGCAGACTGGGACTCCACCACTGCTCTCCTGGGTGGTTAGCTTGCCCACTCACCCTAAAGATCTTGGAACTACACACACACACACACACACACACACACACACACACACACACACACATCTTACTAATTCTGTTTCTCTGGAGAACCCTAATACACACTTTATTTATTCAAAAACATTTAATAAGATCCTAATACGTTTTAGGTTCTCTTGAGGGATATAAAAGAGGGAAATACCATTCTCTCTACTTTTATGGACCTCTCAGGCCAATGTGTTGTGGGAAGTGGGGATACTTTTATCATCAAGAAACCCTAGTTATATAACCAGGGAGTGAATAGAGGCAAATGAAGACTTCTCACATACAAAAGTGACAATGAGTTGGTCTGAAATTTTCAATAGTAGTTCACCAGTGGAAAACTGACTAAAGGTAATGTAAGCTTGAAGAAAGCACACATTTTTGACAGTTTGTTGAGTACTGTCACCTGGATACCTAACAGGAGGTTTGGCACGTAACAGGATGTCAGTAATTATTTTTGGAGAGAATAAATTATTTCAAGGCAAAGGACAGAACACATACAAAGGAAGGAACCACGAAAGATCATGATTGGGTATAAAGAGTTGAGATTATGAAGGGATTTAGTTTATTTTAAGAATTTAACCTGCATCCAGACTGACATTCTTCAAATTGAAAATATGGTAACACCACTCTTATTCTAAAAACTTATGGATTATTTCCACTTCCTTTAGGATAAAATCTAAACTCGTTGAATGGCCTAACCCCATAGCCACACTGGCCCATGTCTAGGATCTCATTTCTGACTTCCATTCCTTGCTCCACTGGTGCCTTCCTGCCCCAGGGCCTTTGCTTGTGGATCTGCATGGAAAGTGCTTGTCCTCCCCACGTGCACAACCAAACTTCTAAATATCTTCCAAGTCCTATTTTAAGTATCTTTTTTTTCCTAACACTCCTTCCTTAACCCACTGGATGAGTTTTGATCCCCATGCTATCTGCTTTCCAAGCCCTATAAATGTCTGCCTTGATAACAATTTAGTCAATAAATATATGCCCAATAACCTTTGGGTATCTTGTTCTTTGAGTGCCATGTGTTTATCAGTTTTGTGCTAGCACTGGGGATTTAACAGTATATATGTATTGAATGAATAAATGAATGAATGAGTGAATGATGAATTAACCGGTGCAAGGTATGGTCCTTAATAATTTTACCAGTGTTTTGCTTGTGGTGGCTTCTCTGGCCCATGGCTTTCGCATTTTAGGATGTTGCCTATAGATTTCTAGAGATCCTGAGGGGCTGTGGTCAGAATCCTGTAGTTGCAAGTTATGGGGGCTGGAGGCTGTGTGCAGAGGTGTGTGTAGGGGGTGAGAAAGCAGCAGGGTGGAATGGCATGTGGGCACAAAGGGCGGCCAGAGAATGAGGACCCTCCTGGGAATGATTTCTGATTTCCTTCAGCTTCCAGTCCGCCCGAAGGCCCCTGCTCAGGGGTATGAAATCGAACACTGCAGCTCGGCAGGGGAATCAGTGTGGGAGAAACAGTTCGCAGCTTGCAGGCTTGGGGTTTGCTTACTTTCATTGTTCCTTTTCTTGGTGTCTTTTCAAGTGTTATTATTTCAACATTTCCCTGGTAACCTTGACAGGAACCATCTAGTCTAGCCTAATGCACAGTGA